GCGCCTGGTGCAGTTGATCCGCGCCGCCGAGAGGGCCGAGAAGGCGGAGAAGGAGGGCGCCAGCTCGCTTCCATCCTGCGCCTGAGCGACGTGGAGCCCAGTCTTCTGAGCGACGAGCTGAGGTCCCGCCTGGGCCCCGGCGAGGCGTCGCCTGAGCACGTCTTTGCCCGCGACCTCGACGTCTACTTTAATCGTCAGGGATCCAGGTCCGGTTTCAGGAGGGACTCGAGAAGGGTTCTCGGTATCTGGGACTTCGACCAGGGAAGGGAGGTTTCTCGAGACGAGGTCGCGCTGGCGAAAGGCTGGCAACGTGTGCCTCTCGATCGTGCTGCAAGCAATCGGTTCTTTACTGGCCTCGCGCTCTACTCCTGCGGGGGAAGCCCTCCAGGGACGCTCATACCCGAGGGAGCTAGATGGCTGGAGATTCGGGATCGATCCGGGGAAGTTTCCGTTTCAGGACTCTGGGGGACCGTAGGAGTGAGCGAACTTACTCAAAAGGTGGGAGCCGACCGCCGAGGCTCTTGCAGCGTGACGTTCTGGTGCCAGAAGAATCCCTCAGAGCTAGAGGAAAAGAGGAAGCAGCAGCCAGAGGAGCTAGGAGGACAGGAAAGCAGGAGCCTGATGATCGTCGAGGAGGACCGCTTCGCGGCCGCCGCCCTAGATGGCAAGCTAGCTGTCTCCCTCCCCAGGGCCACGATCCCTCGTCGAGTTCGGGACGCTACCGCGCGAGCCTTAGACGGTCGGGGCCTCAAGACGGCCCGGGGCCTCAGAAAGCGGGAGCTCAAGAGGCTCGAGGACAAGCGCGGCGGGGCGCTGGCCTTAGAGATATTTTCCCGACCTCGAGTCACCGCTGAGCTCAAGCGCCGGGGATATCGCGTCTCGGACGCCATGGACGTGGTTACGGGGGTGGATCTGGGGACCGCCGCGGGGGAGGCCAAGCTTTGGGCCGTGCTCGAGTCGGAATCCCCGATGTTTGTGTCGATGTCACCCGTGTGCAAGGCCTTTTCACAGGCCCGGGTCCCCAACTGGGGACGGATGGATCCTCAGCGGCAGCAGGAGGAGGAAGAGCGAGGACTTAGGTACGTTCACTTGTGCATGCGAGTTGCCGAATATCAGTCGTCCCGGGGCCGATTCTTCGCGATGGAGCATCCTTGCACGGCGAGTTCCTGGGACCTCGAGGCCGTCAGAGCGGCCATGAGCTGGCCTGGAGTCGATACCGTCTCGTTTGATCAGTGCGAATTTGGTCTGAGAGTGTCCCCGGGGTCGCCACTCGTGTCTAGGAAGCGCACCACGATCATGAGCAACAGTCCCGACTTTCTTATCTCTTGCGATCGTCAGTGTTCGGGCAAGCATCCTCATCTCTCTCTGGTCGGCTCCGCCAGGACGAGACGGTCTGAGATCTATCCCGAGGCGCTGGTGACCGCCATGGCGACGGGCATCGAGCTGGCAGTGTGGCGCCACCACACTTCAGGCTCACCTTTCTGTGCCGCCACGGGGGTAGAGTCCCCCGAAACGTCGGGCGACGAGCTCGCCAACTTTCCGGTGGATGAGGCTGAAGGCCCTGCGGAAGCGGCGGAGGAGGAAGACAGCGGTGACGAGCAGGAAACTCGACCCCCTCCCCCTAGAGCTAGAGCCGGACTGGCTTCTCGAGGCTCCGAGCATGAGCTCGACCCCGACCTTAAGCGTGAGGTGGAGCGCCTCCATGTCAACTTGGGACACCCTCGGAGGGAAGACTTCCTGAGAGCCTTGAGGATTGCGGGGGCTAGAGTCGATGTGCTGAGGTGGGTGAGGGACGGTTTTAGGTGTGACCAGTGCGAGTCCCACGCTCGCCCGGGGTGGAGGCGTAAGGCCCACTTGCCCCATACCTACGCCTTTAACAAGATGGTCGCGATAGATCTGTTTTACCTCGATATCGACGGAGTTAGCACCCCGGTGATGAACGTGATCGATCACGGGACTTCGTTTCAGCAGTGCGTTCTTCTTAGCGACGACACGTCGAGGTCGGTTTGGGGGGCGTTTCTCAGGTACTGGGTGAGACCCTTCGGAGCCCCGGAGATGGTGATGTGTGATGGGGGAGGCGAATTCGAATCCGTCTTCGCTCGAGGTGCGGAGCACCTCGGCATTTTTGTTCACGTGGTGCCGGCGAATTCCCCCCATCAGAACGGTAAGTGCGAAAGACACGGAGGGATCGTGAAGGAAGCGTTGTCCAAGGCGGCCCAAGGCTGCAGCCCCACCACTCGAGAGGAGACAGACCTCTTGCTCTGTGAGGTGGTGGCCGCCAAGAACAGGAGTTTCCATCGTGGGGGGTTTTCGCCATCGCAGCTGGTTTTCGGAGAGAATCCTCGCTTTCCTAGAAGCCTCCTGTCCGATGACGGGCTCGACCTCGTAGGTTCCGAGGACGTGCAGCCCGGAGCAGCCGACGGGGGCTCGGCCGCGGCCGCTTTTGCCCGACAGCATCGCATTCGAGAGGCTGCTCGCAGATCGCTCGCCGCTCTCGATGCTCGCTCGAGACTTGCTGAGGCGTCGCTGGCCAGGAAGCACGTGGACAGGTCCTTCTTTCCCGGGCAGTGGGTTTATGTTTTTCGGCGTATCACGTCCTCGAATCGCTCCCACTCCCTGCAGAGGGACCGCTGGACGGGCCCAGGTGTGGTCGTTTACCAGTCGGGAGGCCCCGGAGGGACCGTGTGGGTGGCCATGCGAGCGAGGCTGCTCAAGTGCTCGGCGGAGCAAGTGAGGCCTGCCACGCGCAGCGAGACTTTGGGGGCCGAGCTTCTTGAGAGCTCCAGTTTTGATCAGCTGCGCGAGCAGATTAAGAATCCCGCCCGGCGTTCAGGGGCAGTTGACGTGGCGGCCGAGGGCCCTCCTCCTCCTGAGGCGTGGGGCGCTCCCGAGGCTTCCGCCGCTGCTCCGCCGAACCCCGAGTCGCGTGTCCTGTCGGAGGCCCGTATAGCCGAGGCTCCTCTGTCGGCTGTGCCGGCCCCGAGCGTAGGAAGCGCCGAGGCCACCGGGCTCCCCTCGGGCCCCGCGATGTCCCGGATGTTGTCGGTCGGGTCGTCCGCGTCCGCCGGACCCGCCTTGGAAGCTGAAGGCCCGGCCCCGAGGGGGCCCGGAGCGGCTTCCCGCCGGCCTGAAACGGACCTTGACGGGCCCCGGGAGCGAGGAGAGCCGCCCTTCCAACGGCCCAGGCTTACCCCGATCGAGGAGGCGTCGCCGGCCCCGGGAGCGGTCCTCCGAGCCGTCCAGGAGCGCGAGCCGCCTTCGAGCGAGCTCCCGCCGGACCTGCGTCAGGCTCTGGACGCTCCCGCGCCGTGGCGGGCGCCTCCGGATCTGGGACGGTACGCCGGGCACCCCGTAGGGGGTCGAGGTGGGCCTGAGGGGGCCGAGTTCAGGCCGATGAGGCCCATAGGTTCAGGGAGGGACGTGTCTGTCCCTCGAGCGAGGCGAGCCCAGAGCGCTGTGCCCCCGCATGGCGCGGAAGCTGTTCTTGATTTAGGGCCCGCTGCCCCGCGTGTTCGAAGTCGATCTCCCGACCGTGCCGGACCCGGGGACCCAAGCGGCTTCGGGATCGAGTCGGAGGGCCTCGCTGTGGGCCCGGATTTCTGGAACGAAGCGGATGGCGAACAGGACAGAAGGTTGGTCGATGAGCTTCGCGAGTGGGGGACGACGGCCGGAGGCCTCGATCTCTCAACCTTTTTGCATCTGAACGGTCCGGCTGAGGACGAGGACGCTGTGACCTTTGCAGTCGGCGCCTCGGCCGATCTCTCCAAGCCTCCGAACCCCCGCGGTGCCGAGGTCCGCTGGAAAGACTTGACGGCTGAGGAGCGTCGAGACTTCGAGCAGGCCGATCTGAAAGAATGGCAAGCCATGTTGTCCACGGGAGCAGTTAAGGTTCTCTCTCGGGAGGAGTCTCGGGCCGTTCGCAGGAGGCATCCGGACCGAATCTTGAGTTCCAGGATGGTCCGAAGGAAGAAACCAGTGGAGGGGGTGGGGGAGAAGCCGATTGCCAAATCTAGGTGGTGTGTGCATGGTCACCAGGACCCGGACGGGGAGTCACTGAGAGTTTACGCTCCGACTCCCCAGACGGAGAGCGTGCTTGTTGCGCTGCAGATCATAGCGTCTCACCATTGGACGCTGAATATTGCTGACGCTAAGAACGCCTTCTGCCAGAGCGAGAGACTTAAACGACCCAATGGCGCGATTTTCGTGGAGCCTTGTCAGGGCTTGCCCCTGTCGTCGGACCAGCTCATCGAGCTGGTCGCGCCCGTTTACGGGTTAAACGATGCTCCCTTGCTCTGGCACAGGACGTTGACCGATTATCTGGGGACCCTGGGATTCCAAAAATCCATGCTTGAGCCTTGTTTATGGCTTAAGCGCGATCGCTGGGGCGCTTTAGAGGGGTTGATCCTGATCGAAGTTGACGATCTTATCGTTGCTGGAACTAAGGAGTTCGTTCCTGGCCTCAGGAAGAGCTTGACGTCGAGATTTCACTTTGGCAAGTGGCAGGAGTCAGAGGCAGACTACGGGGGGAGGCATGTCAAACAGCACGGCGATCGCATCTCCATTGACCAGGAGAAATACATTCGAGAGCAACTGAGTGTCCTTCACCTGGACAAGAATCGTAAAGCGAATGTTGAGGCCCCCATGTCCCCCGAGGAGGTGCGATCGTTTAGAGCCGTGATCGCCCAGGTTCAGTGGGTGGCCAGGGAGTCCCGACCGGACGTCGCGGGCGGAGCCTCTCTGCTAGCGTCGTCTATGCCTCATCCCACGGTGGCGGATGGTTTAATGCTTGTGAAAATATGTCGTTACCTGAAGGCGACTGCCTCACAACGACTCACCATCTGGGCTCTGGATCCCCAATCTCTTTTGTTCGTGACCGCGTCAGACGCGGGTGGCCCGGGGAGTGCCAAACGGGGCGGGGCCCAGGGGGCCTGGCTGGTCCTGGCGGCCGATTCCGGGATCCGGAACAATGTGCGAGCCCGGGTTTCCCTTCTCTCGTGGAGGTCTCAACGCCTGAAGCGCGTGGTGGCCTCCACCGTTGCAGCAGAGACGCTGTCATTGAGCAGCGCTGTGGCTGAAGCCCAGTGGCTTCAGGTGCTTTGGCGCGACGCTGTGCACGGGGACGTGCCGCGCCCGGACTGGTACGAAGTGGCCGCCCCTTTTTCGGTCGTGATGTCTCGAGAATGTTCTCTGGGAGAGAAAGCCGAGGCGCTCTCGGTGGTCGACGCTAAGAGCGCGTTCGATACCCTTTCCCGCAACACCGCTGGATCGCGTGCGGACCGGCGGAATTCCGTGGAGTTGGCGGTTGTAAGAGACAGCATGGCGAGTATAGGTTCCTCCGTGAGGTGGCTTCCCCACGGCCGTATGCCGGCCGATCCTCTCACCCACGCGGACCCAGGAAAGGGCAACCTGGCCCTTCACGACCTTTTGTGTCGTGGAACTTTGTGTTTAGTTGATGAGGGTGGACACCTCAATGAAAGGGCGCTAAACCTCTCATTGAAGTCCCGATCTCGAGGGGCCTCCCGCAGGGCCCTTCTGGACGAGGCAATTCAGCGTGATGAGGGTGATAGGGGTTCCCCTCAAGCGATGAAGCAGGAGCGAGGAGGAGAGGGAGGAGGAGGAAGAAGCATCGAGGAGGCGGAGGAGGAAGAGGAGGAGGGCGGAGAAGGAAAGAAAGAAGAAGAGACAGGAGACGCCCTGAGCGCGGCGACGCAGAAGGAGGAAAGGGAGGAGGCGAGGAGGAAGGAGCGGAGGAGCCCGCCCGCACCGTCAGCCCCCGGAGAGGGCAAGGCTGGCGCGGCGGCAGGACCCGTCTTCCTCGGCTACGAGGCCGGGGCCGTGGTGTGGGCGGACAGGGGCCAGGGGGAGTCTAGCACGCTAGAGTTTGGGCCGCTGTCCCCCGTCTCCTTTGTGCCCCCTCCGTCGTTGTCCCTCCGTACTAGCCTCCCTGCAGCCTCATTGGCTTAGGGGCGCCGACGGCGCCCAGTGATTCTCCATGCGCATCCTTCCACTCTTGTGCTGTACCCAAAAGTGCCCTTCCTTCCCCCTCCAGCGCCAACAGCAGGAGCTGAGGCAGGTCGAGTCCAACATCGCCGACGTACGTGCAGTGCTCGCCGACGGTGGCGCTGCAGACGACGAGGGCGACTGGGACACGGACGGGTTCGGCTTGGCGCCGAGCTGGGATGCGTTCCACAAGGCCGTGATCGACAGGCGCCTGAGCAGCGAGGCTCCTGGTGACGGACCGCCAGCTTGGCCAGCGGGAGCGCTGGGGCGCACACCACGCTCAAGAGCCAGCTCGGCAGGCAGCGCAACCAGAGGCTTCGCAGATCAGGTTGCCAAGGCGAACGCGGAGCGAGCGCATCACCAGCAACGCCATGCCGAAGCTGAGCAGGAGTTCGCTGCCGAGCTGGCGGAGGTCAGGAGGGTTGCCCGCGAGCAGGCGCTCCGCCACAACGGCGAGCAGGCGAAGCTCAGACTGGCCTTGAAGGAGGAGTCAGAGCAGCTGCAGCGCACCACCGAGGCGGAGAGCGCAGCGCAGCAGCTACAGCAGCAGCAACACAAGGCCCTCCGGCACGAGATCAAGCAGCAGCAATCCGCGCAGCTCGAGTTCGCGACGCAGCTGGAGGCCAGGCTCCTCAACCACGACGCCGCCTACAGTCACGTCAAGTCTGAGGCCGAGGCGGAGTCCCAACGTGCGAATCGCCTGCTTGAGCAGCTCGAGTGTGCTCGTGCGGAGCACCGCGCTCAGCCTCAGCCCCAGGAGAAGGTCTACCAAGACCTGATGCGGGCACGTGATGAGGTGCAGGAGGCATGGCAGCAGGCCCAGCACGAGCACGCCAAGGCGGCAGCTGCTGCTGGCACCCACAGGTAGCAGCTCATCAGGCAGGAGGTGATCATGGAAGAGAAGCTGCAGGAGGCCAAGAAGGACCACATGCTTGAGCTGGAGGCCGCAACCAAGTCAGCCAGGATCCAGGCGATCGCCCAGGCCCAGACGGTCGCCAATGCCAAGGGAAAAGGAGCCCTACCGCCGGCAGAGGCGGCCAGGCTGCAAAGCATCGTCCAGACCGCAGCAAGACAGCAGGACCGGCTGAAGCAGACCAGGAGCGAGTTCGAGGCAGCTGAGGCCCGCATCCACGAACTCCAGCAGCACTCCAAGCTTGAGGCAAGGGCAGCACAGCGTGCAGTCCAGGTTGCCTATCATGAAGCAGCGGAGCTCAGGAGTGCCAACGAGGAGCGGCAGGTCCCGCATGAGGTGCAGGCCCTGCAGTATGCCCTGCTAAGGACCAGAGCAGAGGAGGAGGAGATAGCGAAGGCCAGTCTGAAGGATAAGGAGGCCATGCGTGCGGAACTTGAAGGTAGCGCGGAGCAAGCATAATCGCACCCCACCCGCCAAGTCATGATAGAAGAGGCGCACGCATATGACTTGCAGCTGCACACCGAGAGCCTGCGACAGGAGCTGGGCAGCTACGCGATGCAGCTGAGCGAGCAGAGGTCCAGCGCGGAAGTGCAGGAGCAGGCGCTGGAGGAGGAGCTCGCCCAGGCCCTCACCTTCAGGATCGCCAGCATGGAGGAGGCCTCCGCCATGGAAGCCGTTGCCAGCCAGCAGAGGACTGGCAGGGGGGAGGCCATTCATCTCGCTCTACAAGACAGCCTCCAGCGCTCCCGCACGCTGCACACCGAGCTCAACGCCATCGCGCAGAAGGAGAAGCATGGCGCATCCGAGACAGAAGAGCTAAAGCGTAGGCTGCAGAGCCTAGAGGCCATAGCAGCCAGCAGAGAACGCGAACGCAAAGCCATGGTCGACCTGTACGCCGAGATGAGGGAATGTGGCCAGGAGGGCTACGACTTCACGAAGAGGGCAGCTCATCACCTAGTCCAAGGAGGCCACCTACCAACATCCCAGGAGTCCATGGGCGACTACCAGGAGGCCGCCGACCTGTGCGAGAAGGCCAGAAGCGCAGCCGAGGCAGCCCCCGCTCCAGCGACGTCGCCCACCACGGCCCCCCTCCCAACTGGTGCAGCTGAGGAGCGCCCAACCAGCAGGGGCCGCGGGCAGAGCAGCGCCTCGCCTCGGAGGCCCACATCCGCCAGGTCAGCCAGATCAGCAGCTCGCCTGCCCGATGAAGGCGTTGAAGTACACAAAGAGCGTGATGGGTCCAGGAGCCCTGACAGGCCCGACCCGCACGAGGAGGCAGAGAGGTATGAGCGTGAGCAAGAGGATTTGCGAAAGCAAGACGAGGAGGCGAAAGCGCAATGGGAAGCCGAACATATGGAGGGGGAGCTGGAGTCAGTCGTGAGGGACCACGAGGCGGGGGAGATCGAAAGGTACTACTACGAGGAGACTCAAATTAGTCAGTGCGGCCCTGGTGGTTCACTAGACTCCCAAGTGGCTGACGACTGCTCGGAGCACGCCCCGATGATCTACCCCGCCAGCTGGCCGCCCTGGAGCCAGGATCAACCCGCGCCAGAGGAGGGCGAGGAGATGAGGGGAGCTATGCAGCATGAGGCAGACACGGACCTAGCTTCCACCTCAAGGGCCAGCTCGATACCAGCAGAGCAGGACGACCCTCCCACTCCGACTGCATCTCAGGTGATCTACATCCCAGCGTCGCCAGCGCCTCCGAGTGAGAGATCTCTCACGCCCAAAGTACCCATCGGGACTGGAGAGCAGGGCGACCAAGACGGCAGAGAGGGGGCAGACAGCTTCGTACTGACCCCTCCCCCTGCCTCTCAGCAGAGCGCGGAGGCGGCAGCCGCCAGCGTCGAGAGGCAGTGCGAAGGCATCGACATCCTCACGCGCCAGCACACCTCAGCTGCCGCCGCAGCTGCAGCCCTCGAGGAGGCCTTTGGACCTGCGCCAGCATTTCCAGGAGATAACATCAGCCAGGCCTTCAAGGGTCAGCGAGTAGATTCGGGGGAGACAGGCGTAGCACGTTTTCGTGGCCGAGTGGCCCGCAGGAGGGACGAGGCAAGGGCCACAGCAACCCCCTCCCCTCCTGCAACTCCTGGAGCCGAGGAGCAGGCAGCAGCGGCATCCGCCGAGCCCCGCCAGGGGGTTGAGGCGGCCTAGCAGCGCCGCCAGGCACCAGGATTTGCATGACAGAATTCATGGCCAGGAGGCGGCCGATGAGTCCGACTGGGCAGAGCACGACGGTTGCGGGCTTCCTTCACGCTCTCCGATCAGTTCGACAGCATCGATCTCCTGTGCAGACGCGGGGCGAGCAGCAGGGGCCCAAGGGCTACAGCACGGCAGTGGGGTCTTCCTCTACGAGGCTCAACCTGCCAACCCTCCGCGGCTTGAAAGCACGGCGAGCCCCGGGGCAATTTGTTACAGCCGTCTAGCAAGACATGTACCAGCAGACATTGCGACAGTTTCACCTACTAGTGCGACAAGCCCCAGGAGGTCAGGGTCCCGAGGGGCCACGACTCCAACTTGGGATGCTACCGCAGCTGGCGCTCGCAGTGGGAGGATGACGCCCAGACGCAGCAGCCGGCAACTGGAGTGCTCCCAGTCACCAGGGTCTCGAGGGGCCAATGTGACACCACCACGGCCGACACGAAGGCCGCCCGCCGCGTCTCGAGGGGCGCCAGGCGACACCGCAGGAGGCACACTAGCATGGAGGAGCGATGCAGCCTGCAGTCAGTCAGTACCTCAGGTCACAAGCCACCGAGATGGCTGCAAGGATGCGTTACCGGCTGCCCTCGCACAAAGGACGCCTCCCTCCGCCATTCGAGTTCACGAGCTTGAGGACGCTGACAGCACCTTTCTCGATGGCAAAAGCTTGAGTGGCAGCGAGGCCAAGGTCGGTGCAGATCACCTGAATGAGCAATGGAAGCGAACGCGAGCAGTCGCGGCCTTCCGATCAGCCCAGCGGCGAGCACGGCGTGCACGGCGCGCTGCCGAGCGCCACAGCGGCATGGATGACAGCAGCGCTCACAACCAGTACCGAGCCCTGATCATGGCTCACGGACACAGCACCCACACCCAACCCACCCACGTCAGCGACCACCAGCACCTAACTGAGCAAGAAGGCAGCCCAACTTGGTGGGCTTGCACGGGGCCCCCTCACACTGCAAGGCCGCTGACGGGCGGATCTGCTCCCCACAGGATCGAGCAGATGCGGGGCCCCTCCCCCTTGCAGTTGCGTAGGCCTGGAAGCAAGCCTCCGTCGGGAGGGTGGTCGATGCCTTGCTCCCAGGCCAGGGGCGTCGTCCAAGGGCGCCCGAGGCGGGGCCCCAACGGCAGCGGCACGGCTACGCGCACAGCGTGGAGACCAACGCCTCGGCCCTCACCAAGCATCGGCACACGCAGCAACCCACCTGCCCCCGCAGCAATGCCTGACGAAGAAGCCAACCTTACCTTTTCCAACACCCATGTGCTGGACCAGCGCACCAAGCCCCACCACTCACCATTCGAGCAACCTCACGACGTAGCCGAGCCCGAGCAGCACATCACGCCTACCAGGACCTGTCCACGTTGGCGCGCTAGCGCGGGGTCGCCACGCACTGCAAGGCCGCCGACGGGCGGACCTGCTCCCCTGAGGGTCGAGCAGCTGCGGGATGATTCCCCCTTACAGGTGCGAAGGCGCGAGGGCATGCCTCCGACGGGAGGGTGGTCGAAGCCTTGCTCTCGCGTCAGCGATGTCGTGTTGGGGTGTCCAACCAGGTCCAGCGACCACCAAGCCGTTCCAGCACCGCCATCGGCTCCAGCCCCGACTACCGCACGCAGCCCACCGCGACCAGCCAAGTGGAGGCCAACGCCCCCCTCGGCAGCAGATGGCCCCCACCACGGTACGAGCGCCACAGACCACTCCGGCGCCCCCGATGGCAAACCTCATCGTCTACGTGACAGCATGCTCCACGCCCAATCACACGAGCTCCTGTTCAGTCAGGCCGTGCGGGCTGGATCGGACATTTTGAACATCGATGAGGGGCGTCGTCAACCGTCACCACCACCTCGGGAGTGGAGTGCGCTTCGGGCTGGCGCCTCACCCTTCACCCCAGCTGCCCACGCGGCGCCATCACAGCTACCTACAGCCCGCGCTCCCAGCTCATCAAGCCCCACCCCACGTGGCACGGGATTAGCGACGGCCGACGACGTCGAGTACTCCCCCGAGTGCGTCCGAGCTGAGAGAGCCAGGCGCGGCCGAAGGCAACAGCAGCCTTCACCTCCGACAGCGCCAGACAGAGGCGCCCTTGCAGTGCTGCCAGTCCTTGGCCACGACCCAATAGCAGAGACCCTGCGAGGCCGGGGCCGCGTCAATGTCTGCGCCGAAGTCGACGCCACGACCCTCCACAACATGGCAAGGCTAGCTCTGGAGATGTGCCCAGCACGTGAACTTCCGATTAAACGCACGCACATCTATACAGACGGCAGCTACAACGGCATCCCGCACACAGCAGCCGTGGCGGTGATCATTGTCGCCGAGTACGACGACGGGCGCAGCTCACGAGGCCCTTTCGGCTTTCGGGGTTTCGTTGCTGGCAAGGTCACCGAGACTCTACACGACATGGCTGACAACGAGAAGGTGACGGCATACACGGCTGAGCTCACGGCAGTGCTGCGGGCGCTCTTGTGGACCCTCGGTCAAGACACCACCGCCCCCATCGAGATCACGCCTGACGCCCTCAACGTCATCGACCTGGCCAAAGGAGATGCCCAATGCCACGTGCATCCACGACTTGGTGCCGCGATTCGGTCTCTTGCTGGCCTCCTCGAAGATGCTCGACCTACTCAGTGGCACCACATCAACTCGCATATTGGCCACCCTTGGAACGAACTTGCAGACGGAGTAGCAGATCAAGCTTCGACCACCGACCTGATGGGCCCGAATCTAGCAGCAGTGCAGGCGATCGCGCACAACAAGTTTCTATCCTGGGAGTGGTTTCGCTCAGCGCCTGAGGACGTCAAGGCCGCGGACCCTCCCATGCGAGATCAGTCCTTTATTATTGGGGCCACCCAGCCGCAGGCAGCCCCCAGTGCTATCCAGCGGCCCATCAGCACGAGCACCATCAAGGCCGACCTCAGCCTGAATCTGTGCACCTACAACTGCAGATCACTCAAGGCTGCCGTAAACTTCAAGTCGGGCAAAGGCAAGGCGGCCAGCAAAAGCAGGCAGAGCATTTCCAAGGTTACACATCTAGCAGCCCAGTTCTCGGACATGGGCCTCCGCATCGTGGCCCTCCAGGAGACGCAGGGCGACGGAGACGCCCGCAACGTGGGAAATTAGGTCTGCTTCTCTTCAGGCCATGCTCAACAGAACAGAGGATGTGACATTTGGCTCAACGTCTCCCAGCCGATCAGCGTGGGCGGGGTCGCGAGGTACCTCAGCGCCAATAACACCCTTGTCCTCCACCAGCACGACAGGCTCTTGATCATCAAGGCCCGTGTGGCAGGCACTGACATGGTCATCGCCTCCGCGCACGCCCCCCACGAAGACTCCCCGTCGGCTGAGAAGACATAATTTTGGGTTTCCGCCCAGCGGTTGGCCGCCAAGTACCTCGCGGACATCTTCATGGGGGACCTGAACGGGCGGCTCGGCGACTACGAGTCCCCAGGAGTCGGCACCAGTGGGTATCCTGAACTCACCAATGGCAACGGCAAGCGCATCATAAGCTTCGCAGCCGACACCGACATGGAAGTCATCAACACTACGAAGCTTCCAGGAACCAACTCGTATACGCATATTGGATCTAAAGGGCAGCGCCACCGGATTGACTACATCCTGGTGAGCTCCTCTATCGCCCCGTACGTGACGAGCTGCAGCGCGGAGCCAGGGCTTGACCGAGGCACCGCTGCACAATACCACATACCAGTACTCGCCACCCTCAAGTGGGCCGCCAGCAAGACCACCAAGGCCTCAGGGCCGCGGCCCGACCTGACCAACCTAAGTAACGATGACGCCAAGACTAGATTCAAGGAGATTCTCAAGCAGGCCCCGATCATCCCCTGGGAGGTGGACGTCAACACCCACTGCGAGGAGGTCACCAGAGTCGTCAACAACGCGGCCATCCAGGCCTTCGGCAAGGCCGTCAAGACAGCTCGGAAGCCCTACATCACCAAGACCACCATGGGCCTCATCCGAGCGAGGCGCCTCGCACTTCGCGTCCACCGTGCAGTGCTTAGAGGAGAAGCCCATGACGACCGCCCTGGCCGAATAGTGGCCCACGCCCACTCCCTTCTCGGAGGCGAGGTCGGCGCCTCACTGGCCCTGTGGAGCACAGAGCGCGGCGACGACGACGGCACCATCCACGACATCCACTACTGCGCGCACCTCCTCCTGAACTGGATGATCCCGCCCATGGACTACGCCATGGCCATCCACTCCTTCATCGCTAGGTCTGGACTGCTCACTGCCTCGGCCGTCGAGAAGGACCGCAGCGCTTTCCTCAGCCGGCTAGCATCAACTGCTTCCTCCGCCTCTGCTGCGAACGACGCGGCGGCTCAGTGGAAGGCTTATCGGGACCTGCTGAGGTATGGCGGCAAGAAGGCGCGGTTTCCAGCGGGCAAGCCGATGCGGCTGGACCAGAACGGAAAGGTGGTCCACAACTCCCAGGACATGGCCGACCAGGAGCTCAACCACTTTGCGAAGATACAGGCAGGCAAGATCGTGACAGCGGGCGACCTCACCCACAAGTACAACCAGGACAGCCAGGCCAGGCCCTTCGAGGGCACGCCGGACCTCTCCATGGTGATGCCCCTGTCCGTCTGCCAGGCCCAGCTGGCCTCGGCCAAGGCTGGGGCGCAAGGAGGCCCTGACGGGCTCACGAAAGCCGTCCTCAGGGCGGCACCTGCCGAGGCGGCTGCGCTACTTCACCCGCTCTTCACCAAGGTGTCGACCACGGTGCGGGGGCCGCTGAGCTTCAAGGGCGGAGACCTGGTCGCAATCCCCAAGGGCAAGGGCGACCCCCGCTACCTCCTCGCATACCGCGAGATCCTCTTGAACAATGTCCTGGGCAAGCACCGCCACAAGTACCTGAGGACCATGCTCAACGCCACCCTCGCCATAGCGCTGGAGGACATCCAAGTCGGCGGCCGGCCCAAGCGAGGGGCCGACATGGCGGTCCTAGCAGCGCGCCTCTTCACCGAGAGAAGCCAGGCCCAGGGGAAATGCTCCATGATCAGCTGCTATGACCTAAAGGAGGCTTTCTACTCGGTCGTCGTCCAGCTGGTCCACGGCATCCCAGGCGAAGAGGACGAAGTCAGGGAGGTGCTCGACAGCTTAGAAGTTCCCCTGTGGGCCCAGCCGCAGCTGGAGCACCTTATGGCTAACCCAGGGATGCTCGACACCGTGCTGGATGGTTCCCACCTGGCTGCCCTCATTGCCGAGGGTTACCGCAACAGGTGGACATCGCACCGCTTCTCCCAGAGCTTCATGGCGCCGCACAAAGGCACAAGGCCTGGCGTGCCTCTCGCTGACGCTGACTTCAACCTGCTCTTCGGCCGCGTCCACCGAATGCTCGACAGCTACCTTGGGCAGCGAGGGCTACGGGCCCAGGGCAGGCCCCTGGAGAGTAGCTTCGCGTGCGCCACCGATCCTCCAGACGGACCACTCCAGGAGCGCGAGCCCCACGGCCTCTCGTTCGTCGATGACTTCACGGGCATGCACATGTTCACCAGCGCCGACCACATCCAGACCGAGGCCTCGGGGTTCTGCGGGGCCGTCTACTGCGCCACCAGCGCCTTCGGCTTCCAGCTGCAGCTCACCAAAACCAAAGTGATGCTCGACTTCAGCGGGCCTGGCAGCCGGCAAGCTCGGGCCAACTTCTACTCCAGCGGAGCGCCGAAGATCGCGGTCCCTCTTGCCGAGAGCTACGTTGAAGTCGTCCGCCACCACAAGCTCCTCGGGACCTACGTGGCCGACAATGCATCTCCTGGGGTGGATGTGGCGGTGAAAGTGGCTACCGCTGCGACCTCCACGCGGCCTCTCCATCGTGAAGTTCACCGTCGTTCAGAGCTGCCCGTCAAAGACAAGGCCTACCTGGCCGACAGCGTGGTGCTATATCAGCTGCTGTACAACGCGTCTACTTGGCCCGAACTCACAGCAGGCCAGACCAGGAGCTTCAACAACCAGTACATCGTGAACTACGCTGCCGCACAGAGGATTACATGGAAGGTGAGACAGAAGAAGGGGGTTACCAACATCCAGGTCCTCGAAGGAGTAGACAAGCCCCCCCCCGAGATCGTCCTGCGCCTCGAGAGGCTTCGGCTATTCGGTAGATGCCTCAACTGGGGTCCCCTTCACCTTCGCCGACTACTCAGCCAGGCCTGGGACGGGAAGTCCGGCTGGGTGGCATTGTTCCGCCGCGACCTCGACTGGGTCCGCGACCACACAGGACCTGACGAGCGAGGTGGGGCCTACACACTCGACAACTGGAAGGACTGGGCCAGGAGCGACTACAAAAGCTACCCCAACGCAGTCAAGAAAGCTTGCCAACGCGACAAAGCCCGCCAGTACGACCACGACCACCACTCCCGATGGCGGCTACGACTCCAGCGCGGGACCAACACGGAAGCCATCTCGCCCTTCCCAGACCAGCATCTCGAGCAGCAGCGCAGGTACCTCTGCTACCATTGTGGACGTACAGGGCCCAGCGCAGCAGTGTTGCGAGCCCACATCACCAAGGATCACACCTCTTCGGGAAATCCCATCTCGTGGGCAACTGGCTCTATTTGCCATGGATGCGGCATGGACTTCCACACCGCGAACAGACTGGTCAAGCACTGGCTGCGTGTGCGCAGGTGCGCTCGACACTGGCGCGAACACGACCAACGCGACCGCGAACTGGCAAGGCCGAGCTGCAGCACAACCAGTAAGTAGTACGAGACCAACAGCAGGCGAACAGAAGGGCCGGCAGGCCCATCGACTGGGCCGAGAAGGCCAGGAGTCCCTGCTCGCCCTCCAGAGATACACACCGACGACGACAGCGACGACAGCAACCGCGGCCACCACCAGGACCTCGAGCTCCCCTTCATCGAGGAGCCGCCGCCGCCGCCAGCACCTGTGCCCAGGCCCCCGCCAGCTCGGACACTATGCGTGCTACACCTGTTCAGCGGTCGTCGCCGAGAGGGAGACGTTCAGGACTGGTTCGGCCGAGTCTGCAGTCGGGCCTCATGTGACCTTCACATGCTGAGCCTGGACGTAGCCAACGACCCGACCTTCGGCGACCTGACATCAGAAGTGGCAGTCAACAAGTGGCGCAGCCTTGCACAGGCAGGCAGGCTCGCAGGCGTCATCGGCGGACCACCGTGCGAGACATGGGGCCGAGCGCGTCACCTGCCTCCCAACGCCTGCAGGGGCCGCCCACCGAGACCCCTGAGGAGCAGCAACAGCTTGTGGGGCCTCCGCTACCTCTCCCGACCAGAGATGGAGCAAGTAGCGACAGGCAATCGCCTCTACAGGACACAGCTGGAGCTCATGTACATGTGCCTCAACCTTGGCGTCCCAGGCATGCTCGAGCACCCGTGTGAGCCCCCCGAGGAGCACATCGTCAGCTCCTGGCGGCTCCCCGAGACACGCCACCTCCTGAGCCAGCATGGCGTCGAGCTGATCACCTTCGACCAGTGCACCTGCGGGGCGGCGTCGAGGAAGACCGCAAGCCTGCTGGCGGTATCCCTTCCAACCCTCCGCTCGGAGATTAGAAGGCTGCCTTGGGGCGGGAGGTGCTCCCACACGCCCTCCTACCACACGGAGCTGGCGGGCATCAGCGACGACGGCCAGTGGCGCACCACGGCGGCCAAGGAGTACCCGACGAGGATGTGCCAGGCCATAGCGACGGCGCTGATGAAGCAGATACGCTGGCGCTTCGGCGACACGCCAAGCGACGTCAGCGTCTGGCACATCGACGACGATGTGGCCCACTTCTTCCAGCCCCTCGACCACTACATGGCCAGGGAGATGGGCCAGGACTACCGCCGTGGCCCAACGAGGCGAGGGAGCGCCCCGACTTGACTGGACGAGGCGAGGGAGCGGGCCGGGCAAGACCGACCTCGACAAGGCCCTGGGCATGACCACCAGCTCGACGAGCTCTGAGCGGGCGCAGCTCGACGAGGCTCGGCGAGCCCGCAGCTTGACGGCACCTGAGGGGGCCGCGACGCCGGGGTCCCTAGGGATCTAAAATATGGTGCCTCCCCCTATACCCCCCAGCTCTCTTCATATTCCAGGGCCTGGTCCAGGGCTTCATTGTCGTTGGCCTTCTGGCTCCGCGGGGGTAAGGGGGAGGCACACCAGGTGGGCCCTCTGCCCACCTGGTCGCAGTGCCTGTGCGCCGCCGCCCAGGCTACGGATAGGCAGCTGGACGGAGGCTGCTATCCTGGGCGGCAGCGCGACGGGCCGATAGAGCAATTCGGCATCTCGAGGTGGTCCGAGGCCCTCTCCCCCTTCGATGCCTACTGAGGCCCCTCCCCCCCCTTCTCGCGGATGGGCCTTGCCCCCCGCTCCTCCCCCGCCCCGAGTGCATGGGCAGGACGGGCCTTCCTCCCCCCTCCTCTAGCGGCGGCCTCGGCCGCCGAGTGGCGCTGCAGGGCACAGACCTTCATGGCGCGGCAAACAGCGGAAACAGCGGAGCAGGAGGAGGAGGAGGAGGAGGAGGAGGAGGAGGGGGAGGAGGAGGAGGAGGGGTGGGGGTGAGGAGGAGGAGGAGGAGGAGGAGGAGGAGGAGGAGGAGGAGGAGGAGGAGGAGGAGGAGGAGGAGAAAGATAAGAAAAGGAGGAGGTGGAGGCGGAGCAGGAGCACGAGGAGGAGGAGGAGGAGGAGGAGCAGAAGGATGAGGATGATGATGATGATGGTGGTGGTGGTGGTGATGATGATGCTGATGCTGATGATGATGATGCTGATGCTGATGGTGATGATCATGATGATCATGATGATGATGATGATCATGATGATTCTGAAAATTATAATGCTGATGTTGTTGTTGATGCTGATGATGGCGGAGGAGGAGGAGGAGAAGGAGGAGGAAAACGAGGAGGAGGAGGAGGAGGAGGAGGAGGAGGAGGGGGAGGAGGAGGACGACGAGACGGGGCTCGGGGCCGTGGCGCGACGGCCAGGCAAGGAAGGCTACGAGCAGGGCCGAGGGCGAAAAGCACGAGGGGCATCCGGGTGAGCGCTTGAGTGCGTTCGCCATGGAGACTTCGGGCCGCCTTGTCGCGGAGGCGCTGCAGTGGCTGTAGGCGCAAGAGCGCGCGAGCTCCCCGAGCGCGCGCGCTGACGAGGCGTTCAGCGGCGCGCTGCAGCGCCAGGTGGCGCCCCAGCTCTGGCGCGCTGCCTGGGCTACACTGAGTCGCGTGGGCTGCTGGGTCTGGACTTCGGGCGGCGCTGGGCTGGGGCGCAGGGCCAGAGGCAGTGCGCTCACCGAGCTGTGTGTGGGCGCCGGGGCTGGAGGCGGGCTGGCAGGCTGGACGGCCCGCCGCTGCGGGCTGACGGCGGCCCCTCGCTGGCGGCCGCCGGGGCTGCCTTCGGCCGACTACACTGTTGTCCTGGTCTCCGCGGTGCTCCTGGGTTTGCCTAGTCCATAGGCCCCAGCCGGCAGATTCTTCTCCCCCTTGGCAGTGGTTGCTGTCTCAGACAGCCCGCACCCCCCTGGGGTGCCGCTTTCTTCGAGCGGCGGCGGAACTATTTACCTTCTCCTTTTAACGAGCTCTGGCGGCGGGAGAGGAGGAGCAGGAGGAGGATGCGGAGGAGGATGAGGGAGAGGACGACGAGGAAGGGGAGGAGGAAGAGGAGGAGGAGGAGGAGGAGGAGGAGGAGAAGGATAAGGATGAGGAAGAGGATTAGGAGGAGGAGGAGGAGAAGGAGGAGGAGGAGGATGCTGAGGAGGATGAGGAGGAGGAGGAGGAGGGGGAGGCGGAAAAGGAGGAGGAGCAGGAGGAGGAGAAGGAGGAAGAGGAGGAGGAGGAGGAGGAGGAGGGGTGGGGAGAAGGAGGAGGAGGAGGAGGAGGAGGAGGAGGAACAAAAACAAATAAGGATAAAAGGAGGAGGAGGAGGGGGAAAAGGAAAAGAAAAAGGTTAATTCGTGCGTGCTCGAAGAATCGTGAAAAGTGAGACATGGGCGCCCCATTCGCAAGAAAGGAAAAGGTGAGGCTGTAGGTTATGTGGTCAGGGCTCGTTTAGAAGGAATCGCGTCACCAACCAGCCGTGCCCAAGTACCGCGAGAATGATGACCATAACCCACCCGACCCATGGGATGTGGGTGTGTGGGCACATGTATTTGTGTTAGTTACGGGACGCATGGCGCTGATCACGTGCAGGGCTTGATCAAGGAATGCCCCCCACGTGCCAGGCAAATGGGACAAGATAGCTTTGAAAAGGGGTTCGAAAAGGGGAAGGGCCCGACCAGTAATTAGAGGGCGGTGGGTACCCCCTCCCAGTCCATTCATCCCCTTGACCCCTTCGCAGGCTATATTTCGCCCGTGAGGGATAGACCTGTCCGAGGTTCCACAGGCTTCAAAAGCCGAGGAGAAGGAGGACACATAACAATAATAATAGGTATG